GCAAATCAGCTTAAAAGGGAGCCGCCTATCCCGTAATGCTGGAGTTTGGAGAGTGGTATACTATGGTCTAGACGATCGAAATTCTTCGATAAATCCAGGTAGAGTACATCAGCGCCTACTCCAGCGTCAGCTGAGTAGGTCCAACTACTGCGGGCCATTAGTAAGCTCGATGTGCATAACCGCTATCTGCGGAAACCGTGCTGCTCTGGCGTAATGAAGTTAGAGTTTTCCAGATAGCACACCAGTGCGTCGGCAACTACGGATTTCACGATCTTGGGCAGTATAAGAAGATGGCATACTGGGCTGTAATAGGAGGGCTAACTTCTGCTTCCACCTTCGTGAATCTAGATTATATTTCCAAACTTCCACAGGTCGGGAACTTGACTCTAGTCTAAGCAGCGCTGAAAAAACTGAGCTAAATTTTCTACCCGTTGGAATGCTGACACTTCCAGTGCCATAGGACAAATGGGATCGACACCCGACGAGCTGAGCTTGCACCGAGAAGTCCGCTTTTACAATACACTCACGGCGGCAAGATGTGGGTTAGTTCTGTGCGAAGAGACAACGAAGGTCGAAAGATGGCTCGGTGGCAATATCCTCTAAAAATCGGTGGCATATTGCATCTGCAGCTTGTTTGCTGCTTCCACAGCCGTGCATGTTAGGCGATCGGCCGTCCTGAGTGAAGAAAATCCTTAGCACAATTTTCGTAGGATATTGACGTGCTTGTACAGCAGTTGGTGTTTGGCAGTGAATGCTATTGCGTAGTTATGCTGATGTACAGATTTGTTTTCTCTTAGCAGTTGATTTCAGTGGAAAAGTTGCGCTACGTATTTGTCCCGAGTTTCTCGTGCTGCAGCTTCTTTGTACACTCATCATGGTGCGCTGCGTACTGTCATCTACATATGGATTCTGGTCCTAACGAAAGTAAATGGTTTACAATTATTGCATACTATTCACTCTGACGCATCTGAATTAGTTGATTACATTTGTGGAAGAACTCCAGCCAGTCGAATTTCATGGGTCCGTCGGCAAGGAACAACCAAGTAGTAGTGCTGATGAGCTGGCCTAATCGATCCTAGCTTGTGATGGTTCGCACAGACTCATCGTTCTCATTTCCATATTTTGCAAAGCAGAGGAAGTTGAAACTGATGACTGCGTGATCACTGAGACCCAACAGGCAGTCTAAAATCAACACATCAATCATATGTTCCACGTTGGTAAGCAAAATAACCAACACAGATGGCCTGTTACTTGTTCCTAACCTAGTGGGCAAAGTGATGTGATGGTGTCGAGGAACAATGGTTACGAGATTTTGTAGATCGACTTTGAATTGTTCTCCGAACCTGGCAGGTGTTTAGAGAACAATGTACTCTGAAGTCAGCCATGATGAGTATGTGAGGGTACTCTCGCTGTAAAGTGCATCTTAAAGCAGTCTCTAGGTGGCAGTCAGTTTCGGGTGTAGAGTTGGGGGTTGGTACATCAAGACAATGAGGTAAGCATCCCTGCCATATAGCTGTAGGCGACAACAAGGAGAGTCAGGAAGTGCCAGTCTTAATGCGCCAAGGCTTCGCACTGGAAGTCGCTTCGGTAATGCGGTATTACCCTCCTTTTTATGAGTCTGTTGTTCCGGATCAGCAACCTACCCGGTAGCGAGAATTCAGCGTCCATCGTTTCCGTGTGCAACCAAGTTTAATTGCTACCGATGAACTCACATGACCCTGAAGATTGGCGATCTTTCAATTGAGCCAGTTTATCCAAAAGATCCTGGGCATTCGTATACAAGTAGCCGAGTTGCTTGGTCCCTAGGAGCCCACAAAGGGATGAAGTGGTCAGGTGTGGGAGAATGTTTACCGATGGCAGTTCGGCAGTTACTCGGATTTTCATGGGATATTGAGATCTCTTTTGCAACTGGACTCCGACAAGGTGCATCTCAATCTTCGTTCAGACCTACGTCAGTCAAAAAGCAGCAGTCATTTTGCGCTTCTATTCATTCGTCACTACGCTTGCTGCTTCAATTGCTTTGCTATTTGATCTTTGCAAAGCTTCTGAGGTATTATACCGACATTTAGAAGGAGGAATTGTCCGATTCCTCGATCATTGATCAAAACATCTGTTGTCTGTTGCTTTGACTAAATCGCAAGATTTAGGATTCTAGGACCCCATCCTCTATAATTTCGTGAGAGATGTATCCCGGTGAGCGAGAGCTCCAAAATATTTGCCGAAGAAAGTGTTCACGAATGATCTGCCTCTGTTCTAAATACTGCTTCCCGGCCACTTGAAACGGTTATAAATATGTGCTAGCACGCCATGTGAGAAGATTGTGTTTAGGCGCCCATGCATGCTGCGCCTCTCTTAGGTGTTTCTTTTTTATTGTCGAGCGCTCCAACGGATATCAGGATAGATGCGTATCCCACAGAATCCATAATTTTGCGCTGTTTCGGAGAGAAAAACATTTTCTACGTTGGTAGAGGATTCTAGTGTTATTCGGATAAGTCTTCTTTCCCCATAGTGTGGCGAGTTTTGATGACGAGTAATTCGTATAGTTTCATGGGAATGATTTTGGCACTCATCAGCACGCACAAAGAGTTTTACTGGTATTAGTCGTCGGATAACTTACCCCGTAATGTGATGGAGATAGATTAAGGGATATTTGAGCATACAACTGTCCGGGCACTATTGTTTAATCTCTGTATTATTGAGCTACAAGACAGGGTATTATTTTGTCCTGACCTGCTGACAAGTGTTGATTGTTTGCTGGTTGTCTCTCCGTTCGCGTTGACAATGTGTACAACCGAAGAGGCCGCAACGGCGGACTGATATGCCGGGGGACTTTGTCTTGACAAGAGACAGTTGTGCTACAGTTAAGGAGCGTTGGTGTTCTGCTGCTTCATCTCTGTTAATCATATTTGTCAGATATATTGGAAGCTGCTTAAACAAAGGTTTCGAGTGGTAGCTGATTTTCGTTGCCTTGAGTACTGTTCGAATTTTGGCGATTTAGCAAAGTTAGAGAAGACAAATTAGATGCGGATATAGCTGTTTGCGGTGCAAGAGAAGTGGATTGTGCAGAATTCTCTTGCTTGGAGCGCGCTATGCTTCCGTATTGCATACTGACTTCCATTGAAGTAATCTTACCGTTAGCACCTGATTGGCATTTGTGATTAACCAGTCGCACGGCGGAGCTGGGGTAAACAAGCACATAACAAATGGGATGGTCGAACAAGCAATAAAGAACCAAGGCACACCTTGTGAGCTATTTCACCCCCCTGTCTTTTTTTGGGACACATTCGCACAATTTGGTGATACCATTGCAAACATTGCGAGCAAGCCAAGCCTATTGTAAATAATTGCTGACAATCGCTTAATCCCCAAACGCCTTTCTCTTAGAGCCTTTCCAGATTCGCATTTCTGCCGTTCAACTTGGTGTCGTTAGCTGACCCATTGGGTTGGTTATCGTTCTGCACTTTCCCAGCTTTGAGAATAGCGCACATCGTTCAAGCAGGTGTGGTCATTGCAAGGTCAAATGAGCCTTTGGCGTGGTCGCACGGTCTGTGTGATGGGTTATGCAGGCGCACTGGCTGACAAGCTCACAATGAATAGCGTGTGACTGGAACCTGTTAACTTTATCTGAACACAGCACTGAACACAGCTTGGAAGATCATAAATCTTTCAACACAACTGTGTTGAGAAACGCCGGATCAGAATAAGCTTAGGTTTTCCGGACTGCTTCGAGCATTCTGTATCGAATGATGTAACATAAAGGTAATCCGCTCAACGTGCTTGAGTTATCCGCTTGCATTTAATTACGAATGCCAGTGAAATCACTTAGTGATGACATGGACTTTAATCGTAGAAGATCAGTCCACGTATGATGGATTACTTTGTAGGGCTGGTAAACGTGGTTCGTATGAGCGCAAACTAACAAAGCGGCGAGAAGATGGAGATAGGATAGAGGGGAATGATCCAAATGGACCAGAAGCAGCACGTCTCGCGTGTGTGTTATACGGAATAGTGAGTGTCTCAAACAACCATGACCTCGTTCTCACTATACTGACTGCTAGTATTGCGCAGCAATTCGGAATGGAAAAACTAATATCTGAAACTTTCATGTACGACAGAGTATACGCTCTATAATGGTTTTTAAAAATGCCCTATTGGATCCCGATGTTTGATTACAGTCTTCGGTTGTTAAAGACTAATGAATGTCTAAATGTAGACTGAGAATATTTAAGTGTTTCTGACACACCGTCAAAGGCATCAGGAACAGCCACCGCACAAACTTATCAGTATACATCGGATACTATTTTATTTGCTCAGCCACGTAGAATAAAGGGCCTTTTTGCTATGTACATATTGTAGACAATAATTTTACTTGGTCAAAATTAATGCAAGCTGTAGGTTTTACCGTAGTTTAGTCCTTCAGTCAGCGATTTCACAAAAAAGGAAAAAAATCGCAAATACTGCTTTACCTTTCATTGTTTTATTTAAGTGCTTATTTTTACTCATTTATCTTCTACTAAACAAAATAACAGTATTAGGAGGCCGCAACGGATGAACGGCGTTGCATTGTTTTGCCATACCAGTTGGGCCTACAACAGACCTCGCGGAGTTGACACACCTAGTTCATCATCGTCGCACGGTTTGCTATGACGAGCACGTGATCGTTGTGGTAGCCCGTACACGCGGGCCTTACCACGACCGCACTTCGTAGCTCGTGATTGGATGCCTGTCCGTTCGCGATCAATACCAA